CTTAAGCATATCCCTCTGCTTATCTGTCCATCTAACCATTTCCACAACTATGTAGCATCTACCGTAAACATTTTCCCGTCGAGATTATCGCCTACAAAATTTGCAAAAGGAGGTGAAAACGACCTAAATCGATTAGAGGATACGTCTATAACTCCCATAGGTAAATTTCCACGGCCGCACCCCTTCGATATTATAAAGAGTGAAAGTTTAGTTTGTCTGCCTTTTTTTGAAATCATGCTGACGGATATAAAAGATTCGGTCACTATCGAACACAATTTTCTTACTTGGTTTTATTGTAACAAATTTTTTTTTTACATAGTTTACTCCGAAACTTACCATCTTTATATCTTTGTCTTTCATATTCGAGGCAATAGGCATTTTACTGTCATCGTAAAATTTGGACATGAATGACTGACTATATTATATGAAAATGCCAAAATGTCGGAAGATTTCACTATGGCAAGAAGGCAAGTTAAATAAACAATTTTTAAAAATTGCCACCACCGGCCCACTAAAAAACTCGAAATGAAGAAACATTTGCAGGCGGAATCTGTTATGTGTAATTTTTATATCGGATATTTGTAAGGCTATGTATAAGGAAAAGAAATTTCTTCTGATTTTAACATATTTTTTCTAATGGTGTAAATATGGATGTTTCAGTAATCTTCGGACCTTGTCCCAGTTTTCATTAAAGTTTATCTCTCGTTAAAAACACTTAAGATGCGTTAGAATTTAGTCGAATCACGCTCGTCATCGTTGGCTTCCGTTCAGCTATTTTTAAGACAAATGATAAATTTATTAACATTTAGTCCAAGATCTAAGTCTAAGGGACCGGTTCAATGTTTGCTATAACGTATTGTGGTCACTTGTAACGGTACGATAACGTTTTCGTTTGTAGTCTCGACAAAAATCGGAGCAAATAATCTACGCACCTAAGCATGCATTTGTTGCGTTGTTGTTGTTTGAGTTTTTTTTTTTTTTTTCTTAAATGTAAAAGCTTATCAAAAATCTACTCATCTTGCAATTAAAAAAAAATCCTCAAACCCTTACGATTTTAAAAATACTTACTCTTCTTGCCCATGATAAGCTGAAATCATTTCATACATATATGTGTATGTGTTTTCTTTAAATAAAATGACATTTCTTATCAAAGCTTTTTGATATTTTATTTAAATACATTTTCCGTTGCAAACTCCCGGCTAAAGTTGTGTGATAAATAAAAATGATTCATTAATTAGTTGTCCTTAGTTCATGATTGCTTACTTAACAGTTTGCGGCGGGTCAATAAGCTTTTTCCATAGCTAAGCGATTATATGAGAAATTTGTATGTTATGCCTATTGAGCAATCACTGACTGTTAATATTGAGTTTGTTGTGTCATCATCATCATCGCACACCAACCAAACATCAGTACTACACACTTAAGTCGCCATATGACAGTAGAGCTTACTCTTCGTTTTCATTGTTATTTAAGAATGTAACGGATGAGTCAATGTTATTGTATATCAAATTTGTAACTTTTTAAGATTTAAATTCAATTTTTTTTTCTCCTTACTCAGCGCAAGAACAACCAATAAAACACATATAGTCGGTTTGAAACGAATATTAGATACGCATCATTTCAAGTCTATCTATAAATATGTGAAAGTTTCTTTTCAAGTTTTGTGACCAAACGTAGGTCTCTGCTTTTTAGTTTCAGTAGCTTGCGTGCTATGCCGGAAAATTTTATGAATCTTTTTGCTTACTGTTGTCCCGCACATTGCTCCGGTTTTCTTCTGTCGACTATTGCGACATCGGCCTATTAATATAACTTCTTGATACGCAACAGAAAATATTGAGGACCTATTAAGGTCACTCGAACCCACCTGCTGCCCTTAGCACCCGAACGGCCAGGCATTCATATTAGGTGCACATCATTGTGCTTGCCTAGCTTATACAATGTTCGAAGTCACTCCAAAATAAGCCTGGATATTATCGTTTGCTCTCTTAGGGCCTTTATGGTGGCTTACCTGTGGAAGTAAAGGGAGGGAGATTGCATAGACTTGTGCTTGGAATATAGACGGATTATATCCCAATACTATGGCCATTTGAAAAATCAGACCGCGTATCCCAGCCTCAGATGTGCATTTCTCCACTTTGAACCGTCAATGTACCATTTCCTTGCTTCCGCCTGGGGTTAAAAAGCTTGCCATCCCCAATCCGATCTCGCCGGTGTGATCACTCGATGGGAGAGTATTAGCTTTGCGACGCAGTAGTCTTTTTTAACAACTATTGATTGACGATAAGATTTCCTGCATTTTTATAGTCGTTTTTTTTCAAGTTCAAAACTCTTCTTCCTGCACTTTAGTGGTTTGAAAATGATTTTTTTTTCTTATAACAAGATTCTGTTTTCTAAGTGAGTTATTGCGAGCGAAAATCGTATTTTCACGATAGTTAGGAAGAGTGCTTCTGAGAACATTTTAGTGCTATAAACAATCCGGGAAGAAAAGAAAAAATAAGTCTACATCAGACACCAGTCGGTTCGAAAACGTCTATCAATATTCGGTAAAGATGAATTGTGCATCAGACTTATCAATTTTAAATTGAAAATATATATTGTTTGTTTTAAATCAAAAATTCACAATTTCCAAATGGATATTGGAAATTATTGATTGGAATTCAGAATGGACAGCTGAAAGCGATGAAAATCGTTAATAATGCAATTTGAGTTCAATTTGTAATTGTAAAATTCACAATTGAGAACTTCTGAATGAAAATCGGGAAAGATGTCCAATGAGCAATGTTTAGTTATGGTTCCATATTATATGAATTTCAAGTTAGCGGTACTTCCGTTTACATTCAGATTCTAATATAATTTATGCGCTTACTACCTTTTCAACTTCCTATCTATATTTCATTGCACCCATTGTAACAACTATTCGATAAGTTTGCTGAAAGATAGCCTAGGGGTATAGTGGAAGAAGCAATCCTCTTTCATAGACTATTGCTAAGAAGTAAATACTAACCATCCACCTGGTAACTGGTTACGTAAAATACGTTGATATGGTAATAGTAGAGAGCATGGTCCCGCCCGCCATGTTAGATGTAGCATCAGATGTTGATATACATTGAAGAAGGGTAGTCCGGTGTAGGCTAGCCGAGATTGTATGGTTAATTCGAAGACAGGAGTGACTACGTCGCGTAAAGTAAGGCTAAAGGCTTTATAATCTAACTTTAAGTTCCACGGGGGTGAGTAGTCCATTCACTATATCACGCGGGTAGTGGTGACAGAATTGGTGTACTGCAAATTGGTGCTTGCCAAGATCCTTCAGGGGGAAGCTTGTATACTTACTTACATGGGGTAATCGCGGTGGAAGCTAGTATGTCCAATCAGCAGTTTGAAGGCAACAATTAACCAATGTCTGAGTCCTGACTGCATGATAAGGGCCTTCGGAGAGCGTCAGTTACCTAAAACTAACACGTGTGTCATCAGGCACCGTGGGGTTAAACTCACAAGTTAGTGTAACCATGTTAAGCCAACAAAGACATCTGTAACAACTTTATATGTTACGCTTACGCACTTAAAAGTCATGGTTTACACTTTAAAAATCATAATTTTCCTGATTTTCTATTTATAGAAATCTTTTGTGGGCAATTTTCGAAAACTTTTTTTGCTTAGTTTTGAAAAACTTGGTAGTAACTTATACAGATAGAGAAATTGGAAGAAGAATAATAATTAATTTTTACAGGAATTTCTTTTGCACGAAATTTGATTTAACACGAGTTGGAAAGAAAAAAATTATCTTTTTACCCGAATTGTTTTCTTTTAACACGATTTTCAATATTTTATGAATTTTTTTTTGTGAAATTTTCTGGTGAATTTTTTTTTTGGGGTTTTTATGAATTTTTTCATTCTCACTCCTCACAAATATGCATTGTAACTCCGTGTTATAATTTTTAAAATTCAGTTAGATTATGTCGATTATATGCGTATATGAGTGGAATTCCCCGAATTGTGCATAGAGTAAAGGCATAATGTATTTTTTAGGCGATTTTGTTTGGTTTTTCAAAGTATGGCATAATTTATTTTTTATAGTACATTTAATGAATTATTTTATGAATTTTTTAATATTGTTTGTTGCACTTTTTTTGGGAACATATCTATCGTGTAAAAAGAGAATTAGTTGCGTTTTTTTTTTTGATCATCGACATCATACATGCTAGCGTCTAATAAATACGCTAATTTTCTTTTTGCGCGAGGGATACACCCCGAAAAACTTCGTGCAAAAAAAGATATAGATTAAATGGAAAAAAGGATTCATTTCAGATCTAAACAATGCAACAAACAATATGCAAAAATTCTTGTTACTTATGAATTTTTATTGAGATCTATTGGTGAAAATGATCAAAATACATGCAAGCACCTACTAATTACATTTCTTTATCACAAAGTTTTTCAAAACTAAGCAAAAAAAAATGGAATGGAATGTATTTTTAATTTACTTTGCAGTTGTTGTGATTATCTGATGATTTAGCAAGCCTTCACACTTGAGAGATGGTTTTTGCCGGACAAAGGCATTTTTTATTCGTTAAATCCAGTTTGTTTTAAAGCCTTAGGTCAAACGTTCACAGACCTATTAAGAATCTGTTTCCATACACAAGAACAATTATGCATTCACTTGACGTTTAGTTTCTCTTATTCTTTTTGCAAAAACATTCTTATCATTGTCCACAGCGTTGTTTATGAATGCTTGTAAATAAATTATGTTTTTTTTTTTTTTTATGATTTGTAATAAGTTGTTGCCGTACATATATATATGCAAAATTTTTCTGAGCGTACATACGTTAACATTTGTAATCTTTTATTTACTCGGTTTGTATGTAGGACATTATAGGGTAGTTCTTAGAAGAATGCAAAAATATATTATTTTGCAAAAACTTAAATTAATTTTGCTTTAATTTACTGACCAACATTTCACATAAGCTTTTTTTTTTTTCGTTCTTTTTTTGAAATATATTTAGGTTACTATAATGGCTGAAGATGAAATATGTCGACCAGTGCCGGCCCCTCGACGTCTCTATCCCGAATTGAGTAAAACTCAATATGAAAATGTTTCCGTTGATTTGATTAATAAAAATTTGAATATAAATTCAGAAAATATACAAAACAATGTAAGCTGCAGTGATAAAGTACCCAACAATAAAGTGTTTTTACTTTATCCCACTTTAAAGGAGGATTCAGAAAAACTGAGCTCACCTAAGACAATCCTAACGGAAACCAATGATCTGTATGGACCAAATGCCAATGAAGATATTAATTTGTATAGTCAACCAACGCCCGCACCCAGACCTAGAAAACCGCAAAATAATGAAACACAAGTTTATGAAAATGCAATCATCAAACCCAAGATCAACGAAATTGAAACATTGTGCACAGATTTATCATTAGATAGCAAACCTCTACGTCGTGCACCTGATTTACCACCGAAAATCTTCGCGAATATTGATCGTGATCGTGAAATACGTGAAATACCTGAAATTCGTGAAATACGTCAACGTAGTCACTCCATATCAAGTGAATTTTCAACAACAAGTAGCAACACTTTCAATAATAATAATAATAACGACAACAGCGATACATTGGAATCGAGAGGGAAATTTTCACCGAACAAAACTTATCCGCCATTAACAGCAAAGTGCCTTAGTCAGAGATCTTCAAGTTCCTCGTTGGCTGAATCAATTGATAGTTCGGATAATTTTAGATACAAATCACCATCACCCGGGTATGTTAATGTTGAATATGACGAAGATCATCATAACAATGCGGACATGTCGTCACAAACATTTTGCAATATTGAAAAAAGTCCGGTCATAAATATCATCAACAATATTGACAAGTAATAAATACTGTATATTTTGCTTGTTTTGTTTTTTGTGTACTTAAAAGGGAAATTTTTTTATTATTATATCTTGCGCTTGGTACAAATCATTTTTAAGGTTATGGGGTTTGCTAAGATTAAATAAATATATTTATTCATTATGATTACTTTACAAAGGCTCTATGATAAGCATGTTTAAGGAAATCAAGTCGAAAGATTTAAACGTAATGTCCCACGGATCAAGCGACTAGCGATTGAGGAGTCATTGTCCGCAAGAATAGCCGAATAGGTAAGAACCGCGACTAACAACTCAGTAGTCGCCGATTCATACCTCAGCGAGGCAAAGTTTGCTTTGGTCGTAGCTGTAGTGAGTGTTCAGTCGAGAAAACCATAATGCTGGGCTGTGGTCACTTCCTTTCCTTCGCTTATTGTTCTTTCTGGCCGTCATTGTGTTGCGCGAATAGGGGACATCCCTGACTGGTTGGTTAATTAAAAAAAAATTTACAAAACTTCAATTTGCTTATCTTCGCTAATATTTATGCAGCTAATCTGAATGTTGAACATTTATGCAGCCAGTTTCAACGACAAACATTTCCTGCTAAGCAAGAATCCATGCTTTAAGCTTCAGGTTCCTAACCCTATTTTCTCGCCAGGTAGCATTTTAACAACAGGCGAAAAATGAACAAACGGACGGATAAATAAACGTATCAAAATTTCACGCTGGTGTAGCTAATGTCTTAAACATATTTTTGGGTGTGGCAAAGGGAAGGAAAAATATAGTATACCTTTCTTGCTTAGATGGTGCATATGAAGAAGCGGATGTGATCACTTAACAGCATGACAAGATTCACGGTCTTTGTAATTGATCAACAGATGATTGCATTGCACTGGGGAAATATTTCATTTTAATAATTTTTTCGAAAAGAACATATAGCGGCAGATTACGCATATAGGATTTCTTGCAATAAGAGAGTTTTTTAACTCTAATCTTCTTATTACGAGTTTTTATAGTGAGCCGAATCACAATATATGTCCACAACCAAGCTATATTTAAACATATGCATGTATTTTTTTATTTCGAATAATTAAAAAAAAAAAACTTGAAAAGATAAGAAAGAATTTATTTATTGATGCAAGCTCTGTGTAAACTTCGATTCAGTTCACAACTTGTAAGGAAATTAATAAAACTGATAGTGCTTTTACTGAATGGTATGCACACTTCGTCACCATATCTGTGTACCAAATTTCATCCTCAATTGGATCCTGCGTGTCTATGATGTGGAATTTCTTTCGGTCTATATGAATGTTAAGGACATCGTCGTATAATAATATATGTTTTATGAAAGCAGTTAATATTCATATTATGACTAATTTTAATTTTCCAGTAGTTAGGTTAGGGTTAAATAACTCACGCAATGAAAGCTTTGTTGCATGATCTGTGTGACTAGTGACACCGGCCATATTGTTTATTTCATAGCACCAATATCATATTTAAAAAAGTTAGTCAACACTATTCACTTACTATGAGAGTTGTACGAGCAGAATTGCGAAAAAGTATGGCCCAGTTATCCTTCCTAACCTTTTGTTTCAGGTGGCTTCAATATCGTTTGTTAGGTATTGTTACTTGGTTGATAAAATAATTGAATAAAATTGATGACTAACTTCTCCACTTACTAACGCAAAAGAAAAAAAAAATTAAAGATAACTGAACATCATCTTCATCAATTATGGAAACAATATTTTTTTTTGATATACTTAAATGAAATTCTAATAATTCCGCGGAAGATAATGTTTAACAATATCGCATTAATTTGACATAATTGATATTGTGAGCTTTGAGAAAAAAGTACTTATCATACAGCCTTTAAGTTATAATTGTAACTAACTTTTCATTGAAATTCTGACACAAACTCGTCATATCCTATTGTCCATTAACTTTTTGTACTGTACTGAATTGCCAAAAATATACGCTCAACTCTTTTTTAGGCGGTAAACGCGTTCTTTAGCAATCCGTGCAAAAAAATTCGTGTAAAAAATACATGTAAGGTACGGTAAATTTGGAGATATGTGTCACAACTTAAAAAAATCGTGTCAGATGAAAAACTTTAAATGGTTTCCCAAAACACCGTACAAAAAAAGTAATAATGAAATCCATATAAGCAAAGCAAAAACCATTCTTTTTATTTCAAAAATCAAATTAAAATTAGACTACAGTGAAAATTCGGTCCATAAGTGAATACAACACTTAAAAATTGAAATTAGGAACAAAAATCTATTTCTCAACTATTCATAAAGGTGCACATTTTTTACGAACTGGATCAAAAATGTTATCATCTGTAGATATGTCAATGATGTCGAGCACAACCGTCGGGTGTGATTCAAATGCCGTAGAGCAAGTCACTAGCACATTTGTGGCATAAACGGACTGATTTTGGATCATAGTATTCGCTCAGTTGTATTTTTTTTTTTTTGCTATCTATATAAATTTCTGCGAAACATCGTCAAAATTAAAATTAAAAAAAAATTTTTTTCTTGTTTTGAAATTGTCGTAGAAGAAATAATTCGTGCAAAAAAAAAATGTATTTGCTCATTGGCGAATTCGGTTATTTCAAAATCGTGTAACGAAAGATTTGGGTGTATATTGATTTTTTGGGCTTTGTAGATCTAGTCTAAAATTAAGTGTAAGTGGGTCAGCAAGTAGTGTTCGATATTAAAAAAGGCTCACTTAAACTGCGATTAATCTTCCTTTGCTACGCTGCTCTTTGGAATATGTCTTTTCTCGCGATTTGCATATTTTCAATTTCTTATTTGTCAAGGACTGATGCAAATGTTTTAATATACCTTGTCGTTTCTGCAAGCATGCATATCACGTAGATTGCCTTTATATATTTCTACTCAGCGAGGGTTGCTGAAGAAATCATCATAACTAGGAGCAAAGCACGTTAGAAAAAATTTACCACTGCGTGCTTTCTCTCCAAGTGAATGACACACTAAGTTGGGCTGCTCATAAAAACATCTGAAGGAAGTCGGGTAAATAGGATAAGCTTTAATGTCACCAAAATCCAAAGCTGTCTCCTAACGCACAGGCGGAATAATGATGGTGTTAATGTAGGGAGAATCGGCAACTTTTGATGTTGTGGGCATGAGAATACAAAACGATTTTCGTTGAACAGAATGTGTGTTTGAAATCCCGAAAGATGCAATCAAGTGCTTAGGTTTTTTAAAGCGGTGCAAAACAGACTGCATTATGTGCACTCCGAGATACCGGAAGAGGCTTTCAATTCCATTCAACGCCTTCGGTCTGTCATTAATATTACTTCAGATTAATTCTCGCTCCTTGTAGCATCCTTTATGTATTCTACTTAAACTACCGTTGGTGACAATGACTATTAAAACTTTTGGCGGCGTATTTTGCACTCTCACTGACTTGACGAGTGTATATGTAAGCATGTATGTATAAAGGCGTATAGTGATTGTCTTTTTTCAAAAGTGTAGCAGATACGAGATAAGTAAGTTGAATATGATAAATTGTTTGCTCATTGTTCGTCTTATATGGAATAGTTCAAAGATCTCTCTCTGCTGGACTCGAATGTAATTTTTTTATTGATGATGAGCTTCACAAGGCTAACTTCATATATGTCTTTATGGTGATGGGCATGTAAAATTCGATTCAAAGTCGAATAAAACTTTCTTACTTACTCTCCATTCGATACATAAGATAGGGAGGAACGCTTCTTGTATATGTTACCTTAATAAACAAAAAACGACAAGAGAAAGTTCATTTAACCCATGAGACGAATTGAAAACATTTGCTTCTACCTGGACTATATAGCTAGCTAATTACTTTACAACCAAAAAGAAGAATAAAGTAAAAATAAAATGTATATAAATAATCAACGAGTATATGAGAAAAGAGAGGAAGTAAATTCTATTTTTAAAGTATAGTATATATATTTGATATATATATATATAGTATTTGAATGTTTCATTCATTGCTCATAAATTGTGATCTTGAAATCCCTGACTATACTTAAGGGCAAAAATTCGTTTTCTCATAAATCTTCTTATACATCTATGTTCCTTGTCAGTTCTGCTGAGCAGCTGAAAACTATAAAACACACGAGTCAAGTTTTATATTTAGAAGTGTCGCTCTTCCGTAGCTATATTAATAATATAAACATATTTTGCATGTATGTACTTTTCCGTAGTTGAGGCAAATAGAAGATATATGTTTTTATCAGTAGTGGAGTAGTGGCGGAGTAGCAATTAACATCCAATCGGCATATTTTATAATAAAAGGATATAAATATATATATATATATATATATATACATATATATATATATATATATATGTATTTTTGAAATATATTTTTAGTGATCTTTTGAAATCATTGGGTACTACTTCAAAATTATTAACCGAATCAATAGGAGAACGCGTTGTCTCCAAGGCTAAAGGTGCTAAGCATAAATTTGATAAGAATTTGAAAAATTCTTCTGACATTTTAAGTAATATCGGTTTCGAGACTACACATCGCCTTAAAACTCTCGGTTCAAATTTGAATTTAATTAAACGAGATAAAAGCAAGGATACTATGTCGTTATCACAACTTAATTCTGATCGACCTCAAACAGTGCCTCCTAATGATACAGTTTTTAATACTATAACATTTAGTAGTCCATTGTCGCGTAAAAGTGGCGGCGTATGCGATTTAACCAGCAACGAACGTTTGGATTCATCTTATGAGGTGCCGCGTAGTGTGAAGCCGGTTAATAGTGTTCATACTTTTAGATCGTCAGTGAAAACGGAATTTATGCGAAATACAGTTATTAGTAAATCCCTGGTTATTCCCAAAGGCAACTCTGCACAAAACAATTCAAATCTGAACAGAGTGTTGGAAGAATTGAGTTCGCGTTTTCCAGACAATGTTTGCAGAGATTCTGTGGATTTACCTTCGCCGCCAATGCCCACCATACCGGCTCCTATCTTAACAGAGAAAATGGAAAATTTGATTAGTCCAGAGCCTGTTTATGGAAAATTAAATCCAATACAACCACCTGTTCGGCAGAAGCGACGAAAGAATTGTGAAGAAATTCAGATGAGACGGCAATTAAGTGCGACATTAGACGAATGCTCACTAAGAGTAAATGTAGACTCGATGGAATTGCAAAAATTAAATTCAGAAGCTGAAGCAGCGGAACGTGAGGAATCATTGATTCTAAGGCAACTGATAAACGCTGAAGAGAAATATACACCGATACCAGAGCGTAGTGATTCATGGGAATACTATGAGGAAAGCAATGCCAACAATAGTCAAGATTCATCGTCACCAGAACCTGAGCCGATTTATGTTAATCAGGAGATAACTTATGGAAATGTTTTCGAAATGGCTACGAGCAATAAAGATTTGTTAACACCTCAAAATACCTTGGTGAGTATAACGGAAGAAGACTCTGATAATGACGGTGAACAGGGGGCCGTTGGTGGTGTGACGGAACCTCCTAAAGCAATAATAGAGGAATTCGATCCTCTTACCAAGCGTAAAGCTTCCACGATTTGTCGTAGCGATAAAAGTAACCAATTATTACTGTTGGAATATTTGCTTGAAGAAGAAACATATGGTGCGATAAAAAAAACTCATTCCAATTCTGACGATGAGCTGAGCATGTGCACATCAGAAGAAGATAACATTAATATTAGCAATGGTGTTGCACTTAATAAAAAAAAGTCCGAGGAATCAAAAGCTTCATCTTTACCGGTCGCGCGTACTTCTACTACCGTATGTCCAACTAAGACCCAAACAGCTACTAGCAAATCTTCCAAGTCCATGCAAATTGTTCATCAAAATGCTCAGTTACTTTCTGATAGTGTGGAGAATATAATTTCTGACACGAACGATGTCGAAAAACAAGCTAAGCCCTATTTAAGTCACGTTGAAGATAAGCCGCCGTCAAATGTAGCTGTTGACTTAGCCCGGCCATCAGAAAATCGTTCTCAATGGTTTGTCGGAGAGTCAAGAGATTCTTCTGATTCTAAATGCTTTAAATCGAGTAAATTAAGTATGGATGATGGCGAAAGTCCACCCTCGTATTTGGAAGCAATCGGTGATAAGACTTCAAGCGGCGACACAATAAAAACTCGCTCATCGCGTTTCAAAAACACTATGAATGTGTTTTCGAATGTGATGACGCGAGTGGACGCTTTAAAGCGTAAAACGAGTTTCAAGTCTGCCCAAAAATCTGTTGAAGTGAAAGTTACGCTACAAATGATACCGCGGCCTACGCTATCGCCTCTGTTCGTGCGTTACGAAGGACATTTGGTGCGATTTCCCTCCGGAGTTGTTGAAGATATACTAAAAGAGATGCAAAATCGGAAAGCCGTTTTAAGAGATCGACAATTTCAGACATTTTTGGATCAAGAGATGAAAACACCTAAAGAAAGCATTTCTTTAGAAAATATTACCACTGTCCAATGTGTGAGCAACAGTCGAGTTACCGATAATTCAACTCATTTCTATTGCTTTGAAATTACAACAACAATTCCAAAGAATGGTAACGGTTTCGTTGGCAATGTACAGCAAATGTCGAATCCTAATTTAATTATGACCAGCGGGTCATCGGGCAATGTGAAACATCAACGAGTTTCCCATTTATATGGCGTAAGCAAAGAATCTGAAAGGTACAAATACAACGTGCAACGAATCATTTAAAAATTGTCTTGATATATGTTCTTACAATTTTATTACAGAGACATATGGATGCAAAAAATATTGGAAAGTCTTACCAATTCCATACCGACAAAGTACACATGTCATTATTACAGAGCGGGTTGGTGTTATCTCAAGGTAAACAATTCATTCGACCTGGTTCAGCATTTTCAAATTTTGACATATGCATACTATTTTTAGAATTCCATAACTTCGGAATGGAGTGGTACATGGTTGGTGTTGAAGAAGTCTCAAAGACGTTTAGTCTTTGTAACGGAAATTTCAGGGAATATCGAAAAAATGGATTTACGTAAGGCGCGATGCATAGGTACATTTAAATGATTTTATATCAAAAAAAAAATAGTCAAAAATTAAAATCGAAACATCTTCTTCTTCTTTTATCAGTGCTTAAAGAAAGCGATGATAGCATTAAAAATTTGCATGTCGAATCGGGCCCGATGTTGATGATTGATGCTCCCCCTTTTACCGTTTACATAATAATGAGTGCTCCGCGTGAAACGAAAGTATGGCGTAATATAATACGTGAGGTCGCCCATAATAATGGATTTTCATTAGCCGATCAGCAGTTAACTAAATTTAATGTGCCTGTTATAGTCGATAAATGCATTAATTTCGTTTACATACACGGCTCGATGTCGGAGGGTATTTATCGTAAATCGGGATCTGAAAATTCTATACATAAATTAATGTCAGCATTTCGCGCGGATGCATTCAATGTCGAAATCACTCGCAACGAATACAATGAACACGATGTAGCGAACGTTTTAAAACGATTCATGCGCGATTTACCCGAACGTTTAATGGGCAAATTGTCGGAGAGTTTTATGTGCATTAGCGAATTAGAGGCAAACAGCGAAAAGATTACTTTATATAAAGAATTGTTAGCCCGTTTAAATATCATAGAACGTGAAACATTGAAAAAAATTGTCGGTCATTTAGCTTTCATTAGTTCCCAGCTGAACAAAAATAAAATGAGCATACAAAATTTGACAATGATTTGGGGACCGACTCTTATCCAAAGCATTCAAGCCGAGGAGATGATTTACTCGCAAAAAGAGGCCGACGTTTTGACAGATTTAATTAATTTTAATAAAGATTTATTTCCACTAACAGCCGATGAATTGGTGAGCGCGCTTCTTCTTCTCTCTCTATTTATTAAATCAACTTTTAATAGCAAATGATATAAATTGTTAATTTGTAGAAAAAGGAGCAGGAAATGTTAATGTGTCTTCAAAAATATTATGCTGCCGCCGAAACGCTTACGGATTCGGTAAAAAAATCAGGAGATCTCAAAATGTGGATTACATTAAATCCAAATCCTGAGAATACGACAGAGGTAAGAAAATCGAAATGCAATATATTTATTTTCTTGATTTCGATAATAAGTAACCTAGCCGTTGACGGGGTTAAGGCTAGGTTATCCGCTATACGGTTTTTTGTTTTGGACAACTTTTGTAGCAAACAAGAAAAAAAGACATTATCGTCTGGAACTGTGCATGAACAAGAAAATTGGATTAAGGCTTTGTTATATGGTGTTCCATCAATATCAATTTGTTACGGTATATCTATGTCAAGCTCTCTATTTAGATTTCTCTTTAAATTACGCAGTAACACTGAGCAATACGGCTTTTAGATACGTTACTAAGTTACTATGGGTTATAGTAAGCAAATATGCAAATATTGAAAAAAGTTTTGCTAGTTGTGGGGGTGATATTAAATGGGTGGATCAAATTTCAATTTACCATATGTTGTTCACTGTTTTATAAAATATTACAAATTTATTCGAAATTTTGCGATCAGGTGTAAAAGATGGTAAAGTACAATTTCGAACTTGATATATGAAATTGATCGAAAAGCACCTATTTGAATATTTACATTTAGATGGGCGTAACCGCATATAATATATATGTTTATAATTCGTACAGTTTGCGCGTAATTGCTGAAATCAAGATAGCTAAAGACAGCTATTAAAATAGAGAGAAATAGAGAGAAATATTAAAAATTAGCCGAGTAAGAGACTAATAATGAAATTAGACATCTTACGGGTTAATACATTAATATATGAAAATTTTTTTTTTTTTGACAAACCCAAAATGAACCAATTTTACATGACTATACGTAAAAGGTTGGGACGTTTAAGATTTAAATATCTAACGAATTACATTTATTTTAAACCCTCCAAATCTTTATGCCTTATAAAAGTGGCTCTGACAAAAAATTAATTTTTCTGATTTTAGTTGATTAAAATAAAAATTTGTTATTTTTAACTGTTTATCTCAAATGTGTCTTATGTCAGTCACTGTCATTTTGTCAAAACGTTTGCAACACCCATAAAGAAGTTTTAAAGACCCCATAAGTTATATATGTATACATGCGGATTAGGCATATTCGTTTGTGTTATGTCTGTTGTAAACATTGTTTTTTTCAAATTTGGCAAAACCATTGAAAATTCTTGTACGCAGATTGGTATTGAAACAGTACTACGCGAACTGAGTATATCTCTGTCTTCTAAAGGTAAGAAAAATAGACTTTTTGCTCATTGCTCACAAACTATTGCAGATAAATCTATAAAAATTTGAACGTGTATTTTATAGGCAATCTTGTACTAACTGTACAAAAATGGAAAAAATTGGCCAGGCTTACTTAATATTGTAGCCCCGAAGTTTGCCTCAAAACATCCAAAAGTATATACATTCTTGGCCAGTGTCAATTTTGGAGTATACCTGTGCATCTGTCTATCTGCCCTATGGCGTAGTATCGTTCCAAAAATAAAGACATTGCTTACAAATTTGCAAAACAATTTGAAAATGACCCAAACCCGTCAAAGGATACGGCTAGAACTCTCACACGCTTATTCAACTCAAAACCGAGTACACCTATGTTTTTCGTGTTTTTCGCTGGTTGGTTACTCGTAACTTTCGACAGATGTACGTTTAAAATTTTTATTTTTACCACGGCTTTTCTGTTTTTTTAGTAATTTCTAGGACAACCGTGATGGTTATAAAATATTTAGTCACAAAGAAATATAATTTTCTGATTTACTATAATCACTTTTTCACATTTTAGTTTATTACAATTCACGCGAGTTCTCTAGCTTGCCACACTGTACACTTGTAGCCCGTTTAATTCATATCCATGTAAGAAGGATTATCAAGAGAACAATCCTCTGCCATTGAAAGCAAAGGCGAAGCAAAGATGCTTAATTTCAGCATCGTCGGGAATATCCAGAATATCCACGTCGATGCTCATCAAAGCTTATACCAATATATGTATTTACGTGTTAAAACTTGTTCGATATCAACTCCAGTTGGTAATGATTTAAGTAAACCTTATCATAGGATAGCGTTCTCCTTTATACTGCTTTTTGTGTTCATTTTTATAGATCTGTAGCTCGCATTTTTGGTTTCACGATGATGCTATGCGTGTTATTTGAGACATCCTGAATTTATTTTGCTTTAATAAAAAGCACTATGTTTTGTAAGTTTTAACGCGATTGATGATCTAAGGTTGAAAAAGTAGGAAAATTTGTATTCGGCTGTGCCCACAATCTTTATCCTACGAAAAGGACTAAAACAAAAAAACTAAACAATCAGAAATTTTCATTTTTTATAACATTTGATGAGTGGGAGTGGCTGATTTTTTCCACATTTATAGGATATACGTGAAAATATTTATCGTGTATCCATTGTAGTTAGCAAAAAACAAAAGGCCAAAAGGAGGAGGTATTCGTAGTTTACGTGATACTGTGGACGTGACCTTCATTTGCTTCATTTTTGTGACTTGAAGAATGTTTACCCCATTTGCATTGCCTAGAGAATATAGGGAGGGAAATCGACAGTAGTTCACAGACATGCTTAAATTGTTTTAAAATTTGTTGCCAATCAAAAACATGTATACGTTATGGAGTCTCTGAAATTGTGAATTTTCGAATGTTGCAAGTGTTCTCATCTAATGATGGTGTAAAAAATTTGATCAGTAATCGGCATTAGCCCCTAATCATATATATAGAGATTTTAGGCGAATATTAATGATGTACGGCGTTGGTATATTTATTCATTTTTAGTTTGTTTTTTTAATTTCTAGGATAAGACTCAAGTGAATGTAACCATATCGCCTACGAAAACTGCCTACGAAGTTTGCCAGGAGTTGGCATCAAAAATGAATCTTTCAACGCACCAGATTACTCTATACGAAATCATACTTAATGGTAACTTAGAGCGACCGTTGCATCATGACATTAAAGTGTTCGATGTAGTATTAAATTGGTCATATTGGCCAGACGATGATCGTAGAAACAATACTTTGGTAGTTAAACCAATTGAAATATTGAACGAAGTGCAACGGGCTGTTAAGAATTTAGCTATAATAACGCCTGGTAAAGAATTGAAATTTGTTGATAATCGAACGAAATCGTTTAAAAGTTATCAATGTGAGCTAAGAGATGGAAAAATTGTGATATCGAAGAAGGAGAAAAATGAAAAGAATACAATTGTAAGAGAAATATTTTTACATAGTGCAATCGCATATTTGGGTTGTGAGAAAAAGAGAGAATTTCCGTGGAGTTGGGCGATAACATTTGTTGAAAAAACTCAAACACAAATCTTAAGGTACGAATTGATGCGATTTACTTAATAATTAATGAAGAAATTGTAAATCCATTTCGATACTCTTTTAGGTCACGTGATACACCTTATATAGGACACGTTTTGGCCGGCAGTGAATGGGTAGATCGTACAATTTGGTATTCCAGTATATGGTATTGTTTATATGGCGATAACATATTACCGCCAGCGGAAATTATTATTGAATAGTAATTAGATCGCGTATATATTTAATTATATAGATATATATATTAATTGTAGTTAAAAATTTTCATAAATATTTTACAAACACACACAGCATTTATTGTACAGTTTAGTACTTGCCATTATAAATTTTATTTTTTTCTTTCACATATTCCTCCACAAATATATATATATATATATATATATATATATATTTATATACATATTATAAAATTTTACATCTTAAATCTGGCTAATTGCTAAAGAATTATTCCCTATCAATTAGGTACTGCGTGTGATCGTCATCATCAAAAGCAATACATTAATAATAATATTAATATTAATTAATAGTTAGTATAAAAATAATATTAATAAAGTGAAATATTTTAAAAATAACTTAAAAAAATAAATGTACAATTTAAAAGGTACTGGTTTGAACAGAAGAGTACTGAACCTTTTTAGTGTTGCGACAACAGCATACTAAAATTAAATATGTAAATGTAACTAGTAAAGCAAAACAATTAAATATAATTGACAGGATCAATATTGTGATCCATTCATCGGTCACTTCTTGGCAGCTTAAATCACTAAAAAGAGAAAAGAAGAACAAATCAAAATTCACATTAAAATGATTTTCCAATGCAAGCTGCCTTCACGAGATCATCTAGTTTCGTAACATCTAACGTTTAATAACAATACACGCTCTTATATGTGCGCAGTTAGCATATACTATACAAATAATAAATGTAACGAAAGATAGTAATTATATCAAACAGACCGGGTGTTTAGTAAATTAAGAAAATTCCTAAAATACATAGAACGCCCTCCCGTCATTGCATTTAATGCGAACTATTTAATCATGTCTGTCTTGTCATCAGTGCTATGATATCTACATATGATGTTAGTCTTAAAGTGGCCATTCTTTAAGTTAGTATTAAAAATTACCGATTTGCAATGACCACGAATCGAACAATAATAACAAGTCATTATGCCTATCATCACGAATCGAATAATAATAATAATATTTATCATCGTAGTATAGGTTATATACTCTACATATAATTATAGTTTTGACATTTAAAACTATTTATTAAATTCTTTATGCATTCGTTTCTCCGTCTTCATCCGTCGTCATCTAATCGTAGATTTGTCTGTTTGTTCTTCTGTACCTTTTATTTGTTGTATGCGTGCACCTATTGAGTAATGACCGCAACGAAGAGTGGAAATATGCTCATGTCATTCTACTTAGAGTACAGCATCCCATCCCATTTTTTATACATATATACGCTTGGTTTTTATTCTCAGTTAATTTCGCTATGTTTTTGTGTCCATCTGTGTTCTGTTAATTGCGTCGGATGCGTAAAGTTACAAAATTTAAAATCAAACTAAAGCATAACGCATATGTTGCCTGCATTTCGCAGATGGTAGACAAATGTAAATTTAATCTATTATTCAAGCAATTAAGAAAATTGCAGTCGGGCAAGACCGATTATTAAATGCCCTACACCATATTGTCTAACACAATTCATATTTTTATGATAGAACACAAAAATTATATCTTGTTTCTTTATGAAGACATATTTTCTCATGTGCGTATTTATGGGGGAAGCGGGTCCAAAACGCAACCCAGTTTAATTCTTAAATTATTATTATGATATAAATTTCATGATGGAGCACTGAAAATTATACCTTTTTGTCATACGACCCTTCAGTTATCATTATATGAGAGGATGTTCAAAAATTGTCTCGGCCGGTTCAATGTTTTCATATCAATTTAGATTGCCGAAATACTACTATTTAGCCACTTTAGCCGGGAAATTTCGAAAATTAAAATTTTTTTTTTTTCAGAACAGGGCATTGTATGGGAAGTGGTTGAAAAAATGGACCGATTAGAGCCATTTTCAACAGAATTCGTCCCTGGGCCAAAGTACGTCACTATATCAAATTTCATCAAAATATCTAAAAAATTGTAATCTGTAGGCTAATATTTAACATTACATGGACAGACGGATAGACAAGCTTGGATCGTAATAATAAAAGTTGGCCCTATTTTAAGCCCTTCTGCGTGTTACATACGTCCTCACTAACTTAATATACCCTGTATGACAAGTTGTGTAGGATGAATGTAACACTCGGCTAATTTCTGTATGATAATTGATTGTAAGATTCAAGTCTTTTTTGACTTTAACACCAATCGTAACGATTGTATTCCATATATCACACATATCATACTTCATATATTTGAATCATGGTTTTATGCGATTTGGCAACACTTTGTAGATAATTATTGAAAGAAAAAATCATGAGCACATAATACAATAAATATTTTTAATCTATAATATTCCATAGGTGACCCGTTCGCCCGATTTAAAGTCTAACTTAAATGAAGCGTTCTACAATTGAAGTAAAAGAAAATTGTTGTAATTTTTCGAGAGTAGCCTGATGAAAGGGATAAGAAATAATTAAGAGTCAAGTTTATTTTGTTATATGAAGATATCTGAGGACTGTTTATGGTCGCTGACGTTCACTGCGCATTTAGCTCGGCCATCTTTCTGAATAATATTGGATTGTGAGCTCATACGAAACGACTGCTGTCGTAAACGGCATTATATATAAAAGCCAACTCACCTGACCAATCATTAATTACGGACGTATCACTAAACTGGTACCGGACATGCAAGCAGGTTTGGGCGAATACTTCGGTACTAGTTTTTTTTTTTTAAATATAGGCACGAGATCGAAAGCTATAAACAACAAATAGCAATTTATGGTCGCTTTCGTTTCGAGCTTGTTATCGTTTTTCCTGCGTGTGGACATTATGGAATTAAACCTCGCATTCCTAATCGATCCGGAAACGTTTGTGGAGAAATTTCGGCTTTTTGTCTTTGTTTTGCGACGATGACAACTCACAAAAGTTATCCGACAAATTGACGGCTTGCAGTAAAAAAAAGTATACCAAATCTAGAAATAGCAGCAGTGGATATGTCCCAGACATATACATTTGCTGCATAAAAGGCTGAAGATAGTTAGCTTCTTATGCAGAATTTTTGAGCTTGAAGTCAGAAATGCGGCAAATTGAAGGATAATAAAATTAGTTACATTTTCCGATTCTTTAATTGTATGAAATATGTGCATTCCTCAGTGCTATTTCGCCCTATTTTCGCTTTAGATTTTACCGTCAAACGGACTGATGAAAGTGTCGATAGTTATAAACTTGCTACTCGAGACGTCGGCTCGAGATGATGTCGATCGCCATAAAACCCAACAGAAAAAATTACTATCGAATTTATTCGACGTCGGCTGCTACGAATCGACCCGCGAAGTTGTTTTAAATAGATTCAAAGAGAACTAGAGATGCTTAAGTCATCATTATCATCATCATCATTTGGTAACAACAGCTTTCGATTACCTGAATTCAGAATCTCGCATTAGGAAACTAAGCCAATGGGTTAACCTAAAGAATAACGTTTGTTTTGACAATCGTTTTGGATGCAAGAAAATGTTTACCTTATACAAACAAGTGTCCTATAAAAAAATATACATATATATATATATATTTTTAGAAATCTATAAACAAGTTTCAATACCGGAGGCATTCTTTCGTGGCATCTTGAATTTACGAAACTCTACGCCGAACAGTGGAACGGTTGCAAATTTGAATCTATGGGGAACGAAAAGTTGTTCCACCAGCATATCCAGATAGCTAGTAAAGCATAGAGGGAATTTTAAAATGGGCAAGCATTTCAACGAAATCGTCTAGAGAAAATTTTAGAATTGTTGTCTAAACTGTGAGGACCGTGTGGCGAGAGATCGAAACGAAATGAAACCGCTTTTGAAGTGTTCAAATTTGTTATGGAGTTGTTTTTCTATTACAAACATTTTTTTGTTTTTTTTTTTTTTTTGTTTATCTCTTATTGGTCTCGAATTCTTGGTTCTTCTTCCTTGTTTTTAACTAGTCCTTTTCATTCTGTTTCCTGGTAGATTGTTTTTCATACAATGCTTTGCTTTTACTTAAGCTGCCAAGGATGGAAAATGCCAAGGAAATATATAATACGACAAATGAACGCGTAACCAACATCAAAAACTTGGTCCTAAACTTATAATATCTTGACAAGAGTGCTGAAATTTTTCGAATCGCTCTCAAGCCGATATCTGTTCACTGAAGCTATCTTTAAGCAATTGATATGTAGATAACAGTCAGAGTATTGCAGGACTGAGACATCAGCCGATATAACACTTTCAATCCGAATAGGAATTTCTTTCACTCAGATAATCTTTTCTCCGAGTATTTTGGAGTAAAAATTTCTTTCTAGTAATGCATTTTGCGCACATTCTTTACAAGATTGAAAACATCGTTAAGAATGTTATTTTTCCCAAATATACACTGGGGATTTTCCAGACTTCTGAAAATATGTAAAAAAAAAATTCTTTTTTTATAATTTATCAAAACAAAAGAAAAGAAAAGAAGAATAAATTAAAGCACAATGTATCGCTCATTGCGAAAATACAACAATGCAGTCGGTTATGATGTTTTCCCTTGAATATATAAATTTTTTTGCAAACACATTTATTCATCTCGTTTTGTACGTTTAATTAGAGATTTCTCAGTTAGTCACTCGTTCAATTGAATTCGAAGTCACGCAAACATATCAAATATGTTTTTAAATTAATTAATTATTATAAAACTTAATCTCGATTGTGTGTTGCAAAGTCAACTCTTAACTTAATATAAAAAGTTTTGTTGCGTTTAAAGTGAATTGATTGACTTAAACACCTAATGCATTGACGTGATTCATGGACAAGATATTAAATGAACATCTTAATCTTAATCTATAATTGAATATGCTTGTCATTGCTATAGATCGCGTTCGGTATATTATAACTTACCGATATTCAATTTTGTAGCTATTATTGTTTTCATTAAAATAATGAATAGTCTCGCTAATTGTATCGTTTTGATGGCGTTCACTTGCATTCGTTGACGACACAGATTGAGCATGAAATGTGCAAATGCAAGAACCATGTTCGAGTAGTACATTAATACTTTCACATTTGGTATCAGCGGCTGTTAGGCGATTATAATGCGCCGATGCCAGTATCAATGCCATGCAACATAATAAAGCCGATAGCACGGCGAGCACATAAGCATTTGTGCGCAAAAAGATAAAACAGTTTTCACGAGTTTTATTGCGTTTATTACGTAGATAACGCAATAAAGTCAAGCTTACAATTCCGCTTAAAATTAACTAAAACAAAGAGAGAGAGCAAGAGAGAGAGAGAACAAAAATAAGAAATAAAGTTCAAGTTAAAACTTATCGATGATCTTCATTACTTATGCATTACTAATGTATTGTGATAAACTTACTATTAAGCCGCTCCAATATGGATTATCTTTTATAGCAGTATTTGGTGCCAAGAAGAACTCCCATATCGATAAGCTTATAATTAACGAGCCACAAATAATTTGTAATATTATTAGCCAGCGAGCCAACTGTGGCTGCCGAAAGCCTAACGGGTTCGGATATTGGGATTCTAAATAAAATTTTATTTTAGCTAGAGAATGTATTTCTCTTATCATTTCCGCAATGGCTTCATACCTTGATAGTTTTTATTACTGATCACCAGCATTCGACTGTGTCTTAGGCTACTTCTTGTCGGAGTGTGACGGCCGGCGATTTTAGTGCCTTTAATATTCTGCGGTACTGTCGTTGCCATATAGACAGCCTGCAATTAATTGCAAAGTTTTTAAGAGACCATTTGTAATTGTATACTTAGATAATGTGTTAATTAATAGTTTCAAATCGATGATAATGATTATAGTAAGCTAATGTTTTTTTTTTTTTTTTTTTTGAAAATACATAACTGTTTAATTATTACAAGTTTTCTTCGGTTTACGATCCCTTAACTCTAATCGGTTCATATTGCATGTTGCATATGACACTGAGCCGCATAAAAACGTCATACTTAAAAAGGAACACCGTGTCTTGGTCTTGGTCAGGAAGTTGTGATACAACTTATATAAGACCATAAAACGTTCTACATGCAGGATATATAGATAAAAAAAATTTCAAAAATGAAAAATATAAAAAGAATTATATTGGACCTTTATCCATGCAATATATTGGAAGATAGTAACGTTAAAGCAATGAACTCTTACTTTATCTCTTTGTTATTTGTTCTTTGCTTTTGATCACGCAAAACTATTCAAAAGTATCGCAATCCTAAGAAAAGACTAAAAAAAGAAAAAAAATCAAATTTTCATACCCTACATTATTGAATCGGCTTGGCTAATTATTGCCATTATTGCCACATTTGCCCCGATAATTTTTTTAAAATTTTCGTCTATATCTTTCGATACCATCAATATTTATTTATTTAACATCTATATATATTTTATAGATAGATTTACAAAGTATGAATTTAAGAGCTGTGCTGATAACTTAGAGCATATGCTGGCCTATGCTGGTGAGAACTCCACCGAACTTAAGATTTGAAGTCTACTCATGCGGATAAATCTGCAAAAACTGCTATCCAAATGTTCGCCAGAATCAATTGCATATTCGGTGCAAAAATTATTCCGATCTGTACATAACACGTTGGAATGATTCGTTAATCGCGAACGTGCTAGCAAATCGATTAGAGCTCGTTTTTGTACTGAACATATATGAAAGTGGTCCTAGCGAATCTTTAGGTTACCGGTTTTTGAAAATATTTCCATAGGATAGAAACATACACACGGATATATATAAAAATTGCCGACATTTAGTCTTAGTTTCAGTTTTTTTCGCATTGTGGAAGTGTACGTGAACAGATCTCGCCCATTTTTTAACCTCATGTTTCTAATCGATGAACGAATGCTTTTGCCAATTGTCACTTTTTTAACTTCATTTGATTGTGACGATTCACAAACATACCCGCGAAATTGATGATGTTATGTAACTCTAGTGTTTATTATCTACTCAAACATTATTTATCCAGAAAATTGCCAAAGAGCTTGCTTTCTTTGGACATTTTGCAGTGGCCTACCCCTTTAAATAAAAATTGTATTTTTGAAAAATTTCAAGCATCAGATTGTTTGGCGAATCTTATCACGTGGCCTTGGCTAATATGTGAGGTGCTTTATTAGTGACAAGTTTTGTCTTACTTGCATATATTGTTGAGGAAAACAAATAAAGTAATAGTCACCGCGAACCGTATCTAGAACTGATCGGTCTTATTTTTGCACTTAACCCTTATTAGACATGAAATGTTATCTGCAACAATATTTTAAAATTTTCCATTTTTTCAGAATATTTTTCAATTTTTTTAGATATCCCATGCGTGTTTGTGTTTGCTCATTATTCTTCTGCATTATTCGATCTGTCGCAAAGAGATTTCGTTTTGTCCCAATGAAGTTGACCTTGACAAAAACTTAATTCGAATCGTAAACACAGAGGCAAGCGCACGCCTCAATATCTAACTCGTTCCACAATGTTAAAATAATTAAAAATTTTAAATTATAGGTAATTGTCGGTATTATAGTCCAAATATATAGACTAATTTTGCACGTTTCTCACACACAGATGCGGAAATCCAGAAAATGACTTTATTGATTTATTCTTATTGCACAACACCTCTTTACTTAGTGAAAGGAAGAACTAAAGAAAAAAAAAAAAAAAAAAAAAAAAAAAAAAACGGTTGCAATTATTCTGCTGTAAATAATTGTAATACTAAGAACCGATTTCAATTTTTTAAATAATTATGATAATTACATATTTTTCCTGATATCAAATTCTTTCCTTTCATAACAAGCGATATTTAATTTACAAATCAATTAAACAAACTATTATTCATATTCTCTCATGTGTTAAATTCCATTCGACTTTAAGGAAAATTGTTAAAAACCTTTCATTATAATAATTTGTATATTTGGAATAGGCGTTCGTTACATTAAGCCTATAAGCAAGATACATTCACCTTGAGGGCAAATTTCAAATAGTTTATATATATATAACATTTTTTAAGAGATTTCTTTACTAATGACAAGCATCTGATTAAATCAACCGGGATTGAAAACAAAAGCTAACAAACACATCAAAACATTTTTTTAAGCAATTCTTCTTCCAATTTTCTCTAACTTTAGCTTTGCTCACAAATTTTGATTTTCATAGTCTTAAATTTCAAAATATTCTCCTTCGATTATGACATAAGGCCTTCTTGAAGGGGTAACTATTTAAATGTGTTGTTTTGACGATTTTTTTTTTTTTTTTTCGGAATAGAGAATAACAATATTCGAGTGGATCACCTAAGCATACATATAAATGTTGAAAAACGTCAACACCGGAATCATTCTTGTGGCATATTTAGTTAAACGTGCTTTGACGTAAGTAATGCAAGTTGTGGAAATTTAAATCAAAACTTAAATCACTTAGCTTGCACATGCTGGAATTATTAAGTCTCATGCGGTTCTCGTGAATATTTGAATAAAAAAGTTTACTCTTCTGCTAAGGGAAATGATGAAAATGAATGAAATGAATTTTAATCGAGGTGATGTAAACAATTTTCTTAAAATATCGCGGTGTTGTGTAGTATGAATTCTTTCCGGTTGGACCAAGTTGTTAATAAGGAATATTATTTCAGTGTTTGCGTGAAGTTGTTCGCGAACAGGGACCGGAATTGTGATAAGATAACGCCGGGTTTTTGCATCACGACAATTTGCCATTTCTCACAATATGGGTAATTCGAGATCATATCAGTACAAATCCAAATTATATCGTTTCACAGTCACCGTATTCATCCAATTTTGCCCCATATGACTTTTGGCTAATTTCTAGATTTCAAACAGATACAAGACCAGAGAAGTTGAATCGTAGACAGCTTTGGTGGCTATTCCGAAAATCGACTATGAAAGAGGTGAGTCCGATTGTGTCAGTAAAAATTAAATTTTGTTCAAATTGTTTATATAACTTTAATTGAATTATTACTAATAGACAATCGATTATATTTTATAACCACCTTATCAATTATCGTTCTTCAATAATCTTATACTAATTAATAGCGCTTGCAAGGTCGAACGACCAACAATTTAGCCATTGCCAATATTTTTAAATTGATTTACACGTAAACTCTTCAACCAGATATCATTAACTTTTAGTTTAAGCAGCTACTTAGAAGATGTCTCTTGTACATTCGGGCATGGTGTAGGTGAGGGAGGCTAGCATGGGTAATATGGGAAAGAATAATAAAGTAGTGTTTGTGTAAAAGGTAGAGATCATTACGGATAGGTTGTTCGGTAGGCGGACATTGAAGTGAAAGCGTGGTGTGACGGGCAGCTCCAAGACGAGGGTAGCTCTGTTAAAGGTTTTGGTTGGCGGGCAAATCTCTTCTTTCTCCGAAAAAGCCATGCCATGGGGTCGAAGGTCTGGACCTCTCATCGACATATGCAAACTGTACTGCACTGTAATTTTGGTCGGAGATGTAAATGGTACGCGGTGTAAAAGCTAACCTATATAAATGATGCTAACATCGGCTGCGGTAAAGTGTTCTCTGCATCGCTTTGAAAAACTTGGGCCATTAGCGGATATTTTGTAATTTTGAATATGTGTTCCGTCCAACGCATCTCATTTTTTATTTTTATACCCAGAAAATGGTCATCTTTTATATTAAAAAGATAAAATATAAAATATAAAATATATAATATAAAATCTTTTTATATTAAAAAGATGGAACTCATCATTTCTCCAGTGGGATAAGAAGCTGCACGCTACGTTTGGTTATTATTTGCGTTGCAGATTATCTCATATCCGGGACATCATCCGGATGTTTTGGTAAGTTCGCGATTTAGTGTGTCACTCATAGGAGAGTGTTTATTTTTGCAACTCTGTACTGTTTGGTGACTTACAGAAAAGAGCGCGAGTAACACCAGACGCTCTCGTCTGCAAATGAACAAATAGCGATTTCAGTGTTACGCTTAGGATAAGGAATTCATTTTTAATTGCATCGTTGCTTAAGAAAATTAAGCGATTGGGAAATATTCCGAACAATGAGATTGGCTTTCGCTTGGTTGCAGTCTTCTTCGAGTCATTAGTGAACCAAATATTACGAATACCGTATTGCCGTTCGCAACTTAGGTCGTTAGGTCGAATCTAACCATTTCGTCAAATGATAATTGATCATAGTTTACATTATCAAATCTAAAGACTTATTTATGGGAAGGCATCCTCGCTTGCGACACAAGCGCAAGATTGGCGGCATAAAAAAGTCATTCAGTCAATCAGGAAATTTTTGTATTATTATTTCCAACTAACTTGCTTCAATATATTATTTTTTTTTGAAAAGCTTTTAACGCATTCCAAGTCATCGTACGTATCGTTGTATATGTTGTACATATAAATGTGTATGCTCGTTAAACATTGTTAACTGTCACGTATTAAGTTAACAAATTATGAAAGATTGTTTAGAGTTTCGAAAATTGATGATTAGTCAAGTCGTTGAAATTTAATGAAAGTGAGAAGAATTGAGCTAAAGCTGTTTTTTTTTTTTTTTTTTTAGATGAAACTTAGACGACAGCTATCATTTTAAGTATTGCATTGCCGCGAAAACTCACTTCACCTCACTGATCATGTATAGCTAATACGAATGATTTCTGAAACAGAAAATCATGAACAAATATTTAAATCCGAACATAAGGTGCGTCGCTTGAGTATGGTAAGCACTTTTGCATTATATTTTTATTCAATCGATAAAACAATTGCGATTTCTCGATTTGCTTAATAATTTTAATAGAATTTATATTTAAAATGAATGTAAATTTATGTGAAACTCCATTACATCGTATCCCTTACTCACCTGAGATGGTTGCGCATTATCGACAGCAACATCATTTAATGGAATCTGCTTATAGCTTGTGATTACTGGCATTTTATTTGGGTTTGCTGTTACTGTTGTTGTTGTTGTTGTTGTTGTTGTTGCTATCTGTTTATTGTTGACTGTATGTTGATAGTTATTATGATTTTCTTGATGATTATCATTTGATTCGCCACGCATATCTGTCCTACGAAATAATGCACTATTTTCTGGGATATTTTGATATTTGGGTTGTATTTTATTTTGTACTTGTTGTGCGTGTTGTGCGTGTTGTTGTTGTTGTTGTTGTTGCTGTTGTTGTTGCTCTTCTATGCGATTATCTAAAAGGTTTTGTGATTCTGTAAATTCGCAGGATTCTTCCTGTTGCTGCTGTTGTTGCTGATGCTGCTGATATTGTTGATGGTCTTGTTGTGATGTGTAACCATTTAATCCAAAAAACTTTGATTTTGCTTCATTTAATGCCGCTTTCACTGCGGCGATATTATGGCCAGTTTCGTTCAGTTCCGATTGTGAATGTTGACTAAGCGGTCTGTGCTGTGTTGCTGTTGTTGAGATTGTAGCTAATGATGTATTGGATTTTGTTGTTTGTGGTGTTAATGCTGAAGTTGTTGTTGTTATTGTGGTCGTAATTGCTGGCCCCTCAAGTAACGATGACGCTAATGACGTTATGGAAACTAACTCAACGGGTTGTGGGGCCGTTACATTCGTTGTTATTGTTGCTGGCGTTATTGTTGTTGTTGTTGTCATTGTTGTTATTGCTTTTGTTATAGTTGTTAAACAAGGTAATGAGGGAAGTGTTCCGGCTGCTGCTGCTGCTGGTATTTCAGTTATTACAGCATTGGATTTATAAGGAAAAGTGTGAAAAGTTGTAATATTTGGCGTTTGAAACAAGTTTGATTTATTATCATCTGTTAAAAACTGCTTATTATTTATATTGCCGTTCAATTCATGCGATGGTATGTTGAAGGGTGTCGTCATATCAGATGCTACATTAGCATTGTCAAAGGATGCACAATTAAACGTTTCAGCACTTGTTGTTGTTGTTGTTGCCGTTGTCGCTGTTGTTATCTTCGTTTTGGGTGTATGTACTGTTCCGGTCATATTTAAATTGTCATACATGCTTACCGGCCTTGTAATATCAACGACCATGTTGTTGTCGTTCCCGCTATCATCGTTATAATTATTGGTGTTACGGGAATTAACCATGACTTTGACTTTGTGACTATATCTTTTTCTCTCACATAAAATTAAGCGTTTGCTTTTCCAATCTATGGTAATGATAATGATTCATCGTAAATATTTATAGAATAAAATAAAAATATTTAAATAATTCATATGAATATATGTATGAATGCGACATTTGCGGCTTGTTGCATTTGTTAGAAATCAGATTTGCAAAATTTTCAACTTATTAAAGAGGATTCTAAAATTCGTTATATACTTACGTGTAATTTTCAAGGTAGTGTTATGTATTTAAGAGAAATAATTTCATTTCATTGTTAGTAATTCTCTCGAATAATTGAACAGATATAAGCAAATATATTTTTGTAAAGTTTTTTTTTCTAAAAATACACATATATAGAGATTCGGTTTCGAATGAACGAGGAATCGCTATTGGCTATGGGCTCGGTGATTTGAAAAGGCCGCTAACTTCTGTTTGCCAATTCAATTAAGTTCAATTGCTATACCAAGCTCCAAACTATGGTAAAAAAAAAAAGAAAACAAATTCTGACAAATTATTTGCGAGAATGATTTCGAAATGTATATTAAATGTTGTTTTTAAAGAAATAAAGACGAAGAAATAATTCGCAATTCTGAACATTGAATTCTGCGTTCTGAGAACAGGTGGACAGATGGACCTATTCAGATCAATTTGAAAAGTTTTGCTTATCAGGAAAATATATATTAGGTGTTTGCATGTATTTTAATCGTTTTTTGAATTGAAAAAGTTATTTATTGAGACAAAGGTGGTTCGATATACATTAATCAAAATATTTTTCATAATTTTGTACAACTTTTGGCCATCTTTCTGGCGACATGACGATACCGTGTCGAAAAAACGATATTGGTTTGGCAACGATTCAAACAACGACCCATTTTCGCAAACCACGCTGCAAGTGGTAGTCTGAAGACGCTACGTCTGATGATTGCGCTGGGAGCAGCGGAACTTTCCAATCGAGCTGCAACAGCATATCCTTGGCAACTCTTGCAAGAGGATGATAATGCGTCTGTTAATCGCTATGCTCTTAACCGTTGGTCTCTTTTGCAGCAATACATAGATTAATTTGTTCAGTTGACGGCAGTAGACATCTGCAGTAACAGTACACTACACCTTGCCGCTCCCATAATACCGCGATATTGAAAAGGTTCATTTCAGTCAGTTCGTATGATAATCATTCTCCCTCCTGTTGGATCTTTTCATCGCCAAGCAGTTCGAAAGTTCTTTAAGAGTTTGACCGTAAGCTTCGAAAAGTGTTTGATCGGTTTCGGCAGGACAAACAACAATAGTAATGAATGCCGTTTCTATACACTGAATAACTCAACAATACTAAATGGAAGACTGAATCGAATTTAATCGTTGTTTACATTCATACTTCGCATTACTTGATCATTTTCACCTATAAATGTTGCTGGTGAAAATGCATGTATGCTATGAATTGCTCCGATATTTCAATTATTGATAACAGTATCTATAGGAATGTCTCTATGTCGCGGTATTTGTAAGCGGGTCGCGTCCATTATGAGGTTAGATCGGTTGAAGTAAATTACGATGATATCTGCCGAATATCAAGCGTTCAACTCTTATCACTCGGCAGGACAGACGGACATAAATTTAATTAGAAATTTACGGATGTTACAAACAATACGATAAGCTTGTTATAGCACTGTCTTCTTCGGAATTTGCAGTACGTGGACTTCCGCGATATTACCTACCTGTCTATATATTTTGTAAGTAAATTTATAAACAAAGGATTGAAAAGTTGCCGGATAAAGCTTGGATCTTATGCTCGCCTGCGTTGAGAACTCTACCGCACTTGAGATTTGAACTCACAATCATTGAGTTTTCAGTCGCTATCCTTTGCCTATATGTGTGCTCATGGAAACGTTTTTAAATAATTCCATTAAAATCTGATCATTCAAAAATTTTTATATATATAGTTTTTTCTTAGTAATCTTATTGCATAATTCTCTAAAATATTATTGGCCATTTTCGTAACCGGTTTTCGGTTTAGTTCAATTTGATCGGTTTTTCTTTTGTCGAAAATTTTCTAACCGTTTCAGGGCCCGAGAAATGTGATCAATTTTTGCTATAAGCTGAACATATTTGCAGAATTTAAAGTTCATTGTCCATAGATACACTTAAAAAGGAAGCAAAAGTGCCATTTGATTGTCAGCCAAAAGTACAGCGTGCTTAACTTGGCACGTGCGAAAAAATTAGTCTCATCTTTATGTTTAGAAAAACAGTTTTTGTTTTTATTAATACACATTTGTTTTGGTTCTTTCGTTTACTTTTTCTCGTTAGCATCTCATTAAAGTGTTAGCGAAAATGTCTAAGCATTTGCTTTACGTTTACACGTAGGAAAATAGATTTTCCATTACTTTGGTGTGTGTTGTCTGACAAATATCTATTAGCTTTTACTCTACCTTGAATGCAATCGTTTGATACAAATACACATACATATGCATAATAATGCTATAAAATGAATCATCTTTTAACCTTAATCGGTCCGCGCTGTTTTTCTTATAACATATCGTATCACGAGAAGCCGTAAAGGCTCACAGTCACAAAGGAGTCTCGTGTTATATTCAGTTAAAAAATGTTATACACACAGGATATATAAGAATCAATTGTTATTGCAATTCTCCCTCAACTCCAATCGATCCATGTCGTACGTTTATAACGAAAAAGGTCACAGTCGCAATGGTACTCCTCATGTCTTGGTCTTGGTCAGGAAGTTACTATGCAGGTTACTTAAAAACATAAAACATTATACACATAGGATATATGCACTTGTTGTTTCGACTTATGTAAAAACAAAAAAAATCTTCGAAAGTTAAGTAAATAAGAGAATTATATTCGACTTTGCAATGTATCGCAAGAAGATGATAATGGCAACGCTAAAGCCAGAAATTCTTGCCTTTTCTCTCTCTTATTCGTAGAAAACAAAATTATCATATTCCATAGCATTGAATGGGCGTGCCTAATTATTCCCACTATATGATGTGATGATCAAAAACTCAGAAAGCAGAGATGCTCTCAGCTTATCTTGCATTGTAGGTGTTTCCTTTGATCGAGTTAAGCTATTTTCAATATCAAAGTACGCGACAGAATCACGAATATTTCGACCAAATTTGTAGACGATAGCTTCATTTTTGCGGTCAAGAGAATATGTGTAACAGATAGTGCACAGGCATCATTACTCACAGATACTAATTAATCCGCAATGTAATTGCGGTATATGCTATGCGTCTATGTGCCGTGTTGTGGATCGGTAGGGTAAATTGTCATATCGTCCCTAATTGTAAGTTTACAAATGTTTTTTTTTTTTTTTTAGTGTAGTTTCTTAATATAAAGTAAAGTACAACAATGCAATCTGAACTCAAAAATGAAAAAAATAAAAATAAATAAAGTTCAAGTTGAAAATTCAAATGAGCATTAAAGGCTCAATCGATCTCGATTGAGGTTAAAAAAAAAAAAATGCAAGAGGAAGGCGACGGGATCTTTTAACCCATGTTATGATTCAACTTGGAAATTAATATTTAAAGCACACTTTGCTTTACAAAAAAAAATATACTTGTATAGGATGCATTGAAATTTTCTTCATTATAAAAATCTCCTTCTAAAAGGTAAGTATTGAATAATGAAAATGTAATTATCAATACGAGCACATACACACACTCGCGCATATAAATATATATATGGATTGATTGTCATAGCATTTAACAGCACAAATATATTTGGGTTTATATTCAGTTTATATCAAAATTGGTGGCTATTCACACAAGTATGATATTAAAACTTAATATGCTTCGTAAGTGTAAACGTACAAAAGATTTTCGAATAGAGAGATAAATATTAAATACCATATGTACATAATTGTCAAATTTTGAAGTTTTATAAGGTATCAATATGTGCAGCTGGATCCGGTAATGACTGAATCCTACGCCTCATTTTTGCTAGACAAAGCTCTTAAATCGTATTTATAATTTGAACAGTCAGACGCACTGAAAAATGTAAGTAAATCGATTGCCAAATTCATTTTGATTAAATATATTTACACGGTTTATATATAGAATATCTGATCTATTTTCCATGCTTTATATATATTCTCTAATAAATTTCATATACTCTGTGCATGCAAAGTTACTACAAAGTTTCACTATACGTGCTTTTACAGAGTAGTAAAGAATAAAATGAGAATTAGATAGATATATATATATTTTTATGTAAGTAAAGCGTACCATAGATTTTTTACATGTATAAACAGATATTTCACAAGTTTTGTATAATAGACTTAATGATTGCTTAGTTTTCGGCTTTACCTGGTGTGTACGTATGAACTGGAAAAATAATAAAAAAAAAATACATAATTCGCCCATCGCTAGCTGCATATTTCTCCCGCTTGTCATCGAGAGAAAGCTTTTGCTTTCTCCAAGTAATCCATTTTTGGACGTTTCGAAAGCGCCACTCAGCAAGTGCGTGGGCCACCCATACAAACAAATAGTAGTAGTAGTTGGACAGGCTCGAGTTAAGCGAGTAAGCCGGGGATGACTTAATGTATAATATATGGCCTTACGCTGTTTCGTTTTTTTTTTTTCACCTTTTCCTCAAGTTTTGAAAAGCGCACGGTTTTGTTGTTGGTAGCAGACTTTGCTTCATTTCTTCAGTTCGGGCAAAGAAAAATTATTCCGCGAGTGCTATTTATTTTTCGTTGTTGAAAAGGGTCTGTTTGCGTTGCGATATTTGTTGATATGATGATGTCACGGTTATAAGAAAAATAAATAACCCAATTTGAAACATGGCTGCCTTCTATATACGATATTACGGCATCACTTGTGGGTAAATTCCGATTTCATATTTACGTAGCTAGTTAGTTAAACAGAACGGGAGGAAAGCGTGGCAGACTTAATTTGTTTGTTTACACATATTGCTTACGTTTTTTATTTATTTTTTTTCTAATTTCAGCAGAGAAAAGTTAAGTTATATATAACATACTGCATCTATTACGATGCGTATTTTGAATACGTTACGAACGTGGTAAGTTTA